GGGAGCGCGCGAACGCGCCATGGCGCCGCCACCCCGCTGTACGACAGCTCCCGCCCCGCAACCGCCGTGACCTCGTGCTCACCTCATAGGAGACTAGGATACTATAATATATTGCCTCTCATTCTATATTTTTTTAATTTCATTCATGTTTGACATCGGTATGTATCGTTTTTTTCTAGAAATGTTCACCGTGAAGATACTGTAAAATAATTTTCTGATTTAAAATACCAACTTGCTTTAAAAACATTTTGCGACATAGATTGATGTCACATTTCAAGTGTAATTAAACTCAATTCTGCCGCGACCCGCCAATTACGCCGATTTTTCATGCTCTTAGTCCAATTTTTCAACGTCATCCGTACCAATTCTTTATAAACTTATTGCCTGATTGATCATGAGATTGAAAAAGGTGTCTGTAGCAGTCCAAAATCACGAATACTTTTAAATAACATTCCTTCATCCTTTAAAACTCGTTTAAATTATAGAAAAGATATTTAATAATTTATAGGATATTTTAATTGTTTCATAGGCACACGTGATTGCATTGAGTGAGAAGTGAAATAAACTCATATTTTTAATACACGTGATTGTATACTGTTGAAGACCTTTATACTTCGTACTTATCATTCATGCCTATTTAACAATATGTTTTAATTAATATATCTATAATTGTTCTATAATTGTGCCAACTGGCAATCAACGTTCGTTCCCTAAATGTTTATTTTAAAAACTAAACCGTTTCACTGTTTACAATACACACACAAACAATCTTCAATTCGTTCACCAGACGAAACTATCTTTCCGCGAGAAGCGAGAAAAGTTATTTATGTCACGCGAGATATTTAGACCAGAAACGTTAATCTCAAATCAAATATTGCAAGTTATTTTTCTATGCCACCTTAGTTATGTATTTGAAGTTTATCATCTCATAAAACCCCAATAAGATGGTTGATGATATTAAATATAATGTAATTTGATTACTGTAAACAATAATGTTCTATGATTTATTCATTCTTACTCACATTATTTGCTAGCTTTTTATGATGCTGTATCTCGTTACTCAAAGAAAGAAATTGAAATTAAAATTTCAATTAACTTGCTTCATTGTGTAGAAGGCCCTGTAGTACAATTGTTTCTCTTAAAGTAGACCGTATAGTAAGTTTACATCATCAACTTTTTGTACAAATATTTCGTGTATTTCGGAGATAGCTTTTACATCTCAGTCGACTAGGTATTTAAAGTGAACATTTAATTTAACCTCAACGCGATAGAATTACGGTACCACATTAGAGACATCGAGGAGAGGCTTATGTCCAGCAGTGGACTATTAAAGGCTGTTGATGATGATTAGAGACATCGTGAACCGTATACCATATAGATACAGTGAAATATTAAGTATGTAGTTCCAAAAACCCACCCTCTTGGTTTACTCCGCATGTAATGATAGCCAAGTTAAATATTAAATAAAAGATTTCTAAATTGGAATTCGAGTTTAGAACCAAAGCTTATTTTAAATTCTACTACGTATGAGCTTACAAGCGTATCAGAAATTTTAACCTGCTGCAAAACAAATGAGGTTGCAATCTATTATTAAGATTTCGTTCTTCAAAAATTTTTTTTTCTTTTTTAAAACGAAAAAGGACACTTCGTGGCGCGTTTTTGTGACAGCCTGTTTGTCTAAGAAAACAAACTAACTAACTAACTAATGAATATTTTTAGAACGGCATTGTTAAGTTCATCTCTTGGAAGAAACGCGACATTTTTATCAAGAATCGATCAAATTATCATCTAAATATTTGTATTTAGATGATAATTTGATCGATTCTTGAATCGAATCTTGAAAATACTTTCTGCCTTGTCTCAGCTTCATCTGAGGTACAATTGATGTGAAAAGCCCATATCGTCAAAGATGTAAATCTAACTTATGGTAATAATCGCATATCAAACTCTAGTTGTTTCGTTATCGAGTATTTACGTATATTTACGTTATAAAGCATTTTAAGTAAGCAAGTCAAGTAACGTGTCCGGTTTGTAAAATACTCATCAATCAACAGCCTTTAATAGTCCACTGCTGGACATAGGCCTCCCCTTAGAAAGGAGGTTTTGGCCTACTATACCACGCTGGCCAGACGGGTTGGTATAGGGTTTGTTTCAAGTTTTCCTTCTCTCTGCAGTGTTGTTGTCCTACGTAGTTTTCTCCCTTAGTCGCCTCTTACGACACCCACGGGATGAATAGGGTTGGTGACACTCTGTATTCTTAATCCGTCACCACACGGACAACTCATCTACTCATCAGACCTATTCCTATTTGTGGCACTTAACTATGCAGTAAAATTTTAATGCACACGCAAATAGTTATCACACCACAACCAACACAATGCAAAAGAGAGTCAGTGAATATGATTGTCGTAGAAACGAATAACGCATTAACTTTCTAATCACGTATTGTCACATGTGTGAAACCTATCTTATTAATTATCAGATACAGGGTCGACAAACGTGTCGAGTGTATTGGAGTGGTCAGAAGTTTCCACGAGTGTAAGATAAGAGCCGATATCGCCGCCACTCCCAAACTTGTTTTCTCAACATTGATTCAAAGTTTCTTACAGAGTGTTTTACTCTCGTATATGCGCGTATGCGTTTGTCATCCCCAATTTGATACTTGCGCTTTATCGTGATCTTTAAGCCTCAGCTTCTTTGAACTCTAAGCAAACTGTCAGGCTATAAACGGTCACGTAATTATTTGCAAATCAGGCATATTATTTGGACGGGACTTCGCTCGATTTGATTTAATTATTTGTTAAAACTAATTCTAATTATTACTTACTTTTATTACAGTAAAAAATATCAATGAACTGTGTTACTTATTTTTTTACTTTCGTCGCATACGCGTAAAAAAATTTTTAATATCATGCTTAGACAGTGTAGTACAATACAGTAGTACAATCGCAAACAGCGCGGTAAGCGGAAACGAGCTCTTCTTATGAATCCACTTATTCCCTTAACCAAGTATACACCCTGATCATTTCCCGATCGTGCTTTACCTCCTTTTAATGTTCATGGTGTTCATACCATGCTATAAAAATGTCACTTGTGTTTCAATAACATGAGACGTTCACATTTGTCACACTGCAGTCTGATCCCAAACTAGACAGCCTGGACTATGATGACCAGACCACTGATAAACATACTTATATGTTTCTAAAGACATAAATATTTTAGACAAATTACACCCAGACAGAACAAATAATCGTGCTCATCACACAAACGATATGATGATATGATATTCGAAATAACACGCAATTTGTGTTCTATTTCGAGTGAATCCTAAGGTTAAAGTATTATTACTTATATTTTTTTTTTGGTAAAGTTAATTGATATTTTATTGCAAGGGTAGCGATTTTTAATATTCACAGTACCTGCTAATCTTGACGTATACATTGTGTTTAAACGCTGATGTGTAGAATGTTTTAATTTTCGATGTTCACCTAAGGAAGTACATATCGAGGAAATAAAAAATACGCAGCACGTTGTTGCGTGATGGAACAAATGATTATAATTTAACAAAACCCGCTTAATTAAACTATTAATACGAAGGTTTATTATGAGCATTATCTAATTTAATAAAAAAAACAATATATACAAATATAATGAAGATATATTTTTCTTCGAATGCTTTTATGTCTAAACCTGCAAGTCAGATTTAAAAAAACTCTTTTTGATATAGTGCCGAAGCTATAATATTTTTGAACAAAATATTTCTGACATCTGACACACAGCGCCATCTAGTTTCAAACTAAGCAGAGCGTGTACTAAAAACTAGATTATATCATATACATGGACACGCTGCTCCTAAACGTAGGAGTGGAGCAGTAAGCATAAACGGTTTATAGCTGCAGGGCACTGCTAATTTATTATATGTTCGACTGCACGGATGGCGTAGTGATTTAAGCGGTCACCTCGCCGCTTACTTCTACGCTGAGTGTTGTGGGTCCGATACCCACATGGGACGACACTTTTTGTAATCCACAACTTTTGTTCTGAGTCTGGATGCTCTTTGTGTCCGTTTCATGTATGTTTGTAAATTTCTCCGCGACACAGGATATATTCCTAATGCGGGGATTGCCTTTAAAAAAAAAAGCAATACCACAATATTCTTTTAATAGGAACGTAAATGAAAGTACAGTTATAGATAAACGGACAGGAAATCTTATAATGCTTTTTTTTTAGCAAATTGCCTATCGATTTTAACATATTGGTTATTAAATTGTATATTTTTATATCCCCTGCTAATAATTTCACTTCCATTGTGCATTAAGTTACATTCTATGTAGAAAACAACTTCTATAATTATATTGAACATCCTTGTTGTAATAGATACTAAGAACTCATACTTTTAATTTCTGATTATTATTATAAGATATTAGAATAAAATTTGGCCATAACAAATCGGTATTACAAAACCAAAACAATTGACAATTTTGGTATAAGTAGAATCTATGCAAACTAGAAAACACGTATTGTCCACACATCTCAAACATTTGAATACATTTAGTTCTATAGTTCAATTCATTTTAAGGAGAATCTTGAGCCATTATTCAAGATTGAAATTTATTGCACCAAGATTTACAAGCAATTCCTTAGGTATTTAATAACACTTTGCTTTGCTTTATGGTTTCCGCCTTACTAGATAGCTAAGTAATACCGTTATTTCAAAATTTTCTTGTTATTATCAAAGTCCGCAACATGTTCAGTACCGTAATTGACGTCAAGGTTTCATGTCCACATAATACATATTATTGTAACACGCACACATATATACCTAACTTCATACACGATAAACATACAAGCATACCATACATACATACATATAGATGTAATTTAACTAAATTATCTGTGTAGTATATTATACATACACTAAATATCACGCATATGGGCTAGCAACAAGTTATACACTTTTTGAAAACTCAGTCACGAAAAAAATGTTTCTCCTATTTCAGCTACACTCATCACCGCAACAGCGGGTACCTGCTACGGATGGCCATCACCCACGCTACTCAAACTACAAGAACCAGACAGTCCTATACCAACTACAAGCGATGAGAGATCATGGATAACATCCATAATGATCCTGTGTTCAGCGCTGACACCTGTACCCTCTGCTTACTTGGCGGACCGGTTCGGGAGAAAAACGACACTACTTCTCGGAGCAGTGCCGTTCATCATCGGTTGGATACTGGTCATCGTGGCCAAGTCTGTAGCCGTCCTGTACGTGGCTCGAATGTTCTCTGGCCTCGGCTATGGTATCGTCTACACAGTTGCTCCTATGTATACAGGAGAGATCGCAACAAATCAAGTTCGAGGAGCACTCTCCACTCTCATCACGTTAATGAATAAAGTGAGTATTCGCAAATTTTTAATATATGAAATGAAGCGTACATTTCATTTTCTAGATAGCGAAATAGATTGCATTCAACATTGAGATACATTAAAATACATAAGCTACTGCCAGGTGTTCATAAATAATTCATTAAACTGAATCGGTAACCGTAGATAAAAGAGTGATTCGTAATGATATTCTTGATGCTCAAGTAAATTAATGTATGCCCAAAACCCGACACCCTGTTGCCATGCATGCTTATTAAAAAAATAAGGTGGCTTAGTTTCTATCTGATTCAGAAGAGGTGACTATAATGCTGTGAGAAGTAATCCGTTTGTTTTTAAAAATATAATGTGAGGCTACGTGAACTGTTGCCAAATACATTACTTACTGCAGTCAACTCATCAATCACACATATATTACAGTAGACATTCGACGATATTCGTGTCAAGAGTAGTGAATAGTAGAATAGAAAAAAAGTACCTATCGCTTAGTGGAATCATTGATTTACCCTAGAATATGATGACATTCGATCAAGTTCAATAGAACAATTGATTAAACGCATCCCTGTGCAATTATTCATTTGGAATAGAGTTCTGCTAATCCATCACATCCGTGAACAGTACCAAATGTTCTAATGTTCTCTATTACCTACCACATGAGGTTGATTTTGAATTTTAGCTTTAGATATGCGTTTTCTAAACGATATTCCTAGAAGCGCACGGTGTGTACGCAGTTAAGCAACCGGTAGGTGTACGGTTTCTTTTGTAAGACTCCATTGCTCTACATGCATATAATCATCATCTTGTTATGTCTACGTATACATTGTCTATACGATAATAAAGTGTACGTGTGTAATAACCTTTAATTGTTTGCCTATAATATTACATTTCTAAATGATTATTGATTCTGTTGAATTAAATTTATTAAGATTTTATTAGTAGCCTCTATACTCCTTATTCAGAACTCGTTCACTTAGGTAGACGATATGACAGCTTATAGGAAGGTGTTAAGGAAAGTTAGTAAAGAATAAACATGCAGTAATAAACTTATCTTGCGCTATTAAAGGTTCACAAGATAAGAAATGTGAGTATGTACCGTAAAACGCTTTCATAGCGCAAGATATACCGAATACGCAGCAGGTATAAACGTGATAATTTTATTACTGAAACGTAAGCCTCTTTTGATGTCGTAGTTTCGAACAAATTGCACCAAACGTAGTCGCCAGTTTTGAATATGTTTGTTTTGAATCTTCTCTGCTGACCTCTATTTCACTGTGTCTAATCATTCAATACACAATCTGGCCATATTCACCAACAGCCACATCTAGTAAAAACGTCAAGCGAAGACGTGCCTAGTCTTGGTATACCTATCTCCCATCGATCTCAATTCAGGAAAATCAGAAAGCTCGGAGAAATCTACACAGCACTCAGGGAAATTACATTGAAAGCCTCTCATAGCTCCTACTACATTCAGCATCATCTTTTGACAACAATTTATTTCAACATTGTATTGTTCTATTTGTACGTCATTAAAGCAATGAGCACACGAGCTGCGCCGTTAAACGTGACTCATTGACTTAATTGTGTACTGCACACAGTTTAATGCAAATATTGAATACGAACAGCATTTCATATATTATATTTACTTACCTACACATCTAAAATGGTAACAAGGTTTTGCTTAAGCACTTAATAATTTCTCAAACATACTGAGTTTATGTTAAGAAATACATCATATTTAATCATTTTTAAGCCTTTTATACCACGCAGTAAAAAAATTCTAAAACGAATTAGTTGCAATAGTCAGTATGAGTGTAGAGTATTAACTGAAAAATGAAACATTTCGTTAATCATTGCCAGTTATTGCCCAAAAAAAAACAAGCCCATATGAGCACGGCAATAAAATCTTAACTAATAATATGAATCTATTACAGGAACATTGCATTAAATAGTTTTACATGTTCAAGAATTTAGTCATCACTAATTTAATTTATGTTTAATTTATTTATTTAATATGAGTAGGGCATTAGCTTCCGTTTTTTACGAAAATCGTGTAAAATTTTTAAAATAAGTAATAAGAAAGTAACATCATTACATCAGTCTTTAATGATATGCAAACTAGAACATTTCCAAGTGTATATACAAATAATCTTTTTGTTTGGATAAATAGAATTAGAGATTTAGTTCATAAAATAAGTACAAAAAGATTAGAACATTTATATCATAATAACAGTTTTGAATCATATTGTTTGTATAGATTTATAATATTTAGGTTAAATTAATACGTATGTATCTCACATACTATGTATCTCACGTACTAAAATATTTTTATTCCTGTTTTTCCAGGTCGGTATTCTTGCCCAATACTGCATCGGTCCTTTCGTGTCGATGCCAATGCTCGCCGGTATCAACTTAATCCTGCCAATCTCTTTTGTACTTAGTTTCATATTTTTGCCGGAATCTCCTTACTACTACTTAAAATATGAAAGAAGTGAAAGGGCTGAACGGTCCCTAACAAACTTACGCAGTGGTGATATTAGAAATGAACTGAAGAGTATAGAACTAAACGTCCAAGAGGACATGAAAAACCGTGGAACGTGGGGCGACTTGCTCACAGAAGCCACTAATAGAAAAGCAATGTGGATTACTCTTGGAATTTTTACTATACAGCAATTTTGCGGTAGTGCTGCTGTGGTTGCGTATGCTCAAAGTATTTTTAACTACGCAATGAGGCCATCAAATATAACTCTTCCTAATTCCACTGTTGTTACCAATGAAACTGCAGGTGTAACCCTTGAACCCTATCAAGAGTCCATTATTCTTGGATGCGTACAAGTTGCCACTTGCGTACTGTCCGTCATACTCGTCGACCGTGTTGGAAGGAAGCCACTTCTATTGCTGTCGGCTCTGGGAGTTGGATTGATGAATGCTACAATCGGTACATATTTTTACTTTGACCACACAAATCCTGTAGTACTGGCAAATTGGAACTGGCTGCCGTTAGCATCGCTCCTCGTATACATCGTTTGTTATGCTATTGGGTTATCAACTGTACCCTATGTCATTATTGGAGAAATGTTCCCGACAAACGTCAAGTTGTACGCTTCTTGTGTCGCTCACATTTACACCGGGATATCTATGTTCGCTGTTCAAAAACTATTTCAGGTAAGATTTATGTTGTAATATAAGTAACTTTAGCTTAGTGCTAACCGTAGTAATCAAACACGTCAATGGGGACTCTAAATATGTCTTAAAAATGTTATCTACCAAAAATGTATTTGAATCAAAATTAACAACACATACTCTTTGTACATTGATTTTTATTATTTCTATATATGTATATTCTTTTTTTGTTTTATGTGTATTTATAGCGTTCACGATGCAAACATTAGCAAAATATGGTTAAAATTTAAAATCAATCCAACAACACGTAACACACTTGTGATGCTTGTCAGTTGACATATATTTGGCTTAACATCAAGCTTTCTCGTTGCAGGTGATTGGAGATGCATATGGAATTTACACAGTATTCTGGGGTTTTGCAACCTTCTCAATTATGGGTCTCGTATTCATGATCGTCATACTACCGGAGACAAAGGGCAAATCGTTCGCATGCATCCAAGCGCAGTTGCGACGCGAAGTGGCACGGGACAACGCCAAGAAATTAGCGACTGTGGAATATTGACGCACCGGAACACCGGATAACTTCTCACTAGTTTAGCTTAAGCTTTACTTTAATGTGTTTTAAGGGATCAAGCATATCGACAATGCCAGTTAAGGATATTGATACTTAACGTTTATTATACTTTTAGCATAGAATAATGTAACGACGTACAGTTTTTTCTATAAAGTATTGTAACACTATTACAAAAGTAGCCTGTGTAAGCAGAATAGTGGGAGGACGGTAGGCGCTATGAAGCTTGCGCCAGAGAAGGCAGAGAAGTCCTCGGGGTCGTAGTCAGCAGGCAGGGCTCGCGAACTAATAACCTTTGCGTACAGTTTAGCGGAGTCCTTCGCCGTTCTCGTTTTGTTCGGACTATTAAAATCGACCAGATACAGACCGAAGCGGGACCTGCAAATGCATTTACAACTGTGAACATGAGTGAAATTAGACATTTCTGACTGATTGATGAGTTTTATTCTATCCAGAAAGACATTAATAGTTAGTTTTAGATGTTGAATTAAGTACCAATGGTTTCAAACTTGTCAGAACTATCAAAGATAGTCGTGCTTAAATATTTATAATTGTATAAATAATCATAGAAATGTTGTTAAGGAATATTATCTGTCTTATTTATTATGTAACATGTGTTATGTACATAATGTAATAAGTGTTTCATTAAATTAATCGATAATTTTTTTGAGATCCAAGTAATAAATTGTTTTAGAAACATTATACGAGATCCAATATTTTGCCTAAATCGCCTGGGCCACGGCAATGGGACCTAATCTATACCTAATAAATGGGCCCAGTGATGAGCTATCGATAATATATTTCTATTGTGGACACTAAAGAATATTAATATTTGCCATCCTGGCCACTATGACTAAGTAGTAGCAAATATAAAGAATAAAAGCAAGAAAAGGTAAACATGATAGCTCGCATCTACTTATTTTTACTTACTGTTCAAGGTAGTCTGTTTTTAAAAGCAAAGTTATGAAGCCTTGTACTATAGGTGTTATATTATAAATAAATTAAAATATAATTCTGGGTTAGTAAAATAGTTTAAAAAGTATATGTAAGTATAAAAACAATCAAGCTAGGTAAAATAGTACATATCGAAGGAGATTCTACTGACTACATTATTTCTAAAATCTTTACTAAGAGGTATCTCTGTTTTGCGTATATTTTCGTTCATATTATATAACACGCTTACAGAACCGGAACAACTATCTTGTTTGTATACCGGTTGGAATATCTCAACAATACAAGCCCTTTGAACGTCTCAAGTTTGGCAAGGAGATGGGGGTTTTGAGCTTTTGGTAATCTCAATCACTTGAAGAAAAGCAGCGACAGAATTACTTAAAACTGGTTTTTTTGTGAGGTCGTGGTATCCTTCCGGTCGAGCCATGTACGAATTCTTGATATTACGAAAACAGTGAACGATGAAAAAAGAGTTATGAATTATTCAAATTGTTTTTGATCTCTCATGTCAAATTGGATATTTCGACATACGACAAAATCGCTTTCTGCCGTCGATATAAGGTGTAATTTTCATTAGTGGTTATATCACAATTCAGACTGGAATTTCTGTTTAACAATCGTCTTGGACTAGCAGAACAGAACGGGACAGTGCTTTTGCGGCAGCTATTTTAGTGAACGTCCAAAGTTCCATTACACACTTACCGCGTTATAATGTCGAGAATAACACTTAAAATATAATAATAATAATATAATAATATATTCTACCACATACACACAACGCCATCTAGTCCCAAACTAAGCAGAGCTTGTACTATGGGTACTAGACAACTGATATAAATACATATATACTTTTTTTTTTTTGTAAATATATACATATTATACATAGAAACACCCAGACCAAATCAAACATCAAATGTTCATGCACACAAATGTTTGACTTGAGCGGGAATCGAACCCGAGACCTTTGGAATAGCAGTCCGTTACACAAACTTTCAGTCAACGAATATGAAAAGATTTTACATTACAAGGTTACATATCGTATCTTCCAAAACAATAATTGGCACCTGTGCTGATAGATTTTAGATATAAATATACATTGACCTAAATATCATTCGTTAATTTATGCAAGGTCTTATATTTACATATACTTATATAATCATGTTCTTATAAACTTCATTTTAAGATGGTAAAATAATTATTTTAAAGAAATATCTACTTTTATGCTATTGCATGTTACATACAATAGAATGTAAGTTGATAGTTTCTTTCATAAATAAGGAATATTAACTCCACAAAGGCAAAAGGTCACACTCTATGTACTTTACCTTATTACATGGCATGTATCGAAAAATCTAATAGAATTTAAGATAAATACTTACACGTAACCATCATCCCATTCGAAGTTATCCATCAGACTCCATGCAAAATAACCTACGACAGAGCTCTTGTCTTCATGAATGGCGTGAAGCAATGCATTCAAGTAATGGCTATAGTATGAAACTCTGGCTTTATCCTGCAAACCACTGAAGTCTGCGTAACCATTTTCCGTAACTATTATGGGAATATTGTTGTAGGTTTGTGTGATCCAGTGGAGAAGGCGTCTGAAGCCAAAAGGCACCACCTTGAAATGAAACAAGTTTAGTAAGTAATTAGATTTAATTATGACAATTCTGACTCGGTGATAGTTAGTTGTATGGCTTATTTAAATCTTTTGATAAAAGCTGCCTTTATAAAATTTCAGTTACTAATTTCTTACTTACGAGAATAATCATAAATATATTCACGAAATTCATACTAGCCAGCAAAAGTCGCACATCTATCTGCCTCACGCAAAGTCTAACATATAGGGTTATATTTATACAACCAAAAAAAAAGGTACAACCCGTACCAACAGACTCGACGGACACCAACAGAAAAACAGTCACTTTTTTATATTTGCTTTAACCTTATTTTCGCCCTTGCCGAATGCTTGGAGATGATAAAGAATCTACTTATCCTATAATTATAATTTAAATTAAATCAATATCTATTTAATAAAATATTTTAGACATATATTTAGTGTTAGGTACAGTAGGATAACTTGAAATGGCTACTGTAAATGTAATGTTAAATACTAAAAATTTCATAATTAATTATGAAATTATTTATTTAAGGGTAATTATTTAATAACTGCAAATCACAAAAATGTAGCGATTTTTTAAAGCAAATATATCCAGTTGTACTACCTCGATATAAAAGTCTCGTTCTCAGACATCAATATAACATCATCTACCGTAGGTATACGCAATAGTCAAGACAAACTTTACCGCAATTAACATAAAGGCTTAAATAAACTACATTCTTTCCTCCTCTTTGAGTTTGCTATATTTTGTGTAATAACAGTAATAAAGGCTTGACGTCAACACATTGTGTACAACACACAGTTATCTGTTGTGTGATGCCATATAATTCCCTACTCGAGCTTATAATAATGTAAATTAAATAAATATGAATGCAATGGGTAAACATTTCAGTACTTAGAAATTCGTCGTGTGTTAATACCTAACAAGTGTTTCACTAAGAAATACGTAAATGAGCTGAAAAGTATTGATTAGCTTTAAGTGCGGTTTACCTTAAGCCATGATGAAGAGGAGCCTGCGGGCCATTTAGGATCCTGTACTCTTATGACGCCGACGTCATTTTCATGTGAAGGTTTAGCCCCCACTTCTCCATCAGCCTTGGAGAGTAGGTAAGTAGTATAATGATTCAATCCAAAGAAATCGGCGGTTCCTCTAATGTAGTTCACTTCCTCAGGACTAAATTTCGGAAGACGAGACCTTGTGTAGTTCTGCTGAAGACTTTTTTCATCAACCAGTTTGATTAGTTCTGCTGGATAATTCCCTTCCTTAGAGTAAACAGGATGCGCATACCATCCCAACTGAAATAAATCAGACAAATCTGTATATTTTAACTTAACTTTATTAAAATACGTTGCCTTTGTTATACTGGTGTCCTACATTCTGTGGCCATCCTTATGAAATAATAAAAATTAAAACCCTAATAGTTGTGGGAAAGCCTTATCTATCGCAGTTTATGTAGCTGGCAACTTTAGATACACAACAAACTTGACGACATGGTAAACGATCAGTCATATGACAAAACGCAAGCTGTTAACATCGTAATTATATACTTACATGAGAAACAATGTTAAGTATTTAAACGATATCATTTTATCTTCATAGCACAAATATACAACGCATTTCAAAGCATGTAGACGTACGTAAAATTAGGAGTATAACGCGCGCACAAACATCCCAGTGAATACAATTATATCAAGTAGATGTCAGACTGGCATATATAACTTACAAAATTATCAAAATTAGTTAAGTTCTTATATAAGATAGGTGACATGAATATGACCTCTAATTGACATCATTATGACTTATCTGGCCTCAGAAAGACATAACTCTGATGTCATAGAGTAATTTAGCTGACGTTTTATGTGTGTGACGTCTTTCCCTCCACGGGCATCTTAAGTAAAAGACGAAAGATTTATACGTTAATAAGGGAAACCAGAGTTTACATGAAGTTATAAGAGCCCCGTAATAAACCTGCATGAGTAACGAAACCATATCGCGACTCCAAAAATGGTAGCACGCCATCTATCAAGGTAAGAGGTAGTTTTCGTACCACCCTTAGTTATTCGGTTTGAATATGAACGAATTATAGTCTATTGAACAGTAATTTTAATTAAAGTTTTATTTATCAAATACTCAAACACAAAATTCCATTTAGGTTTAGGACACTTTTTCTTTAAATTTGCAAGACGTCAACCTCTAAAATATTCTTATTGCTCACCTTCACACTTATGAAAGGGATAGGACACAATATTTAAGTCACAATTACGACATCATAAAAAGTCAAGCTTTAGGTCAGTACTATGTCATAAAGATGTCTTACTATATGACATCATATCAAAGTCATTATTCAAGTCATTTTTATGTCAAAATGCTAAGATCTCTCATGTGTTCACTAGGATATATAAAGAGGCTACAGTTGTTAAATAAAAAGGTTAGCAACTAATTAAGTATTAGTCTTTAATTTAATTTGATGTTGGTCTATTCTTTTTTTAGAACGTTTTTTAATAACACTATTCTTTTTTTTGTGTGGAAATCCACTCATATATCCCCCACCGGACGGCCTCGGATACTAGTTGCCGGGGAACCAGGTGTAAGCTAGAAAGGATCCCTGATACCCTGACGGACCCCGGGCAATTTTCGGCATGTAGATCATCTGTATCACTTCTACATAGTATCTGTATCACAATATATTGTATATTAATTCCTTAACAAAGTTGGCAAACTATACCTTAAACAGCAATGCAAATTAATTAACAACCTATTAGTTACTTCTTTATGAGATCATTACAATATATCGAAAAATATCTAAGGATATATACATACCTAGCCTGAATTAGAATGAAATTAAGAAGAACGCAAGAGATTAACTATAAAAATATATCTCGGTCAATAAACAAAGTAAGTAAGGTTGGTTTCACTTTAAGAATCATCCAGCGCTTTTTTAAGAAAAGAGATGATAATGTTATGAAACATGTAATGTGGTTCATCTATATTTTTATTTTTATACTCATTATTCCTACAAAATAATTTCGATGTTTCACATCTGCTAGAAAGGCAACGGCAACGGCTTAATTTTTATTTTTGTTTAAAAATCCTATTAACTATACCCCTGATGTGATTTTGATGTGAAGTGTATAATATTTTAATGCAGAGCGTCAGACCGGCTTTTGGCGTAGCGAATCATCACCGCGGCATGCGTCGCCATGTGATAGTATTTGCAACATATAAGGCGGTGTATCAATGCGTCAGAATTGTATTTTTAATTGTACTAAACTTATTATTTACTATCTATCTATAGTTTGATACTCGTTATTTTTATAAAATAATTTCGATATTTCACATCTCGCAGACGACTTGTGAAGTTTCAATTTTGTATCTGTATAGAATATACAATACTACTACTAAAAAAAAGTATTAATCATACCATGGAGCGATTATGGGACTTACTATTTTATCAACTGAAATTAATATTATGTGTATGTATAGGTATATACGTTACAGGTGTATGCATATGTATACTAATTACTAGTTAATATAGTAGGCCAAAACCTTCTTTCGAAGGAGAGGCCTATGTCCAGCAGTGGACTATTAAAGGAAATTAATATTATGTGTATGTATAGGTATATACGTTACAGGTGTATGCATATGTATACTAATTACTAGTTAATATAGTAGGCCAAAACCTTCTTTCTAAGGAGAGGCCTATGTCCAGCAGTGGACTATTAAAGGCTGTTGATGATGATTGATGATACTTACATGCGTTATCAAATACAGCTCAGCTGCTTCTCTGTCTTCTAACGTATTGGTTTTAGGTTCAGCCCAGTTAGAATCCAAAGCCATGCCAATTTTGCCTAAAATTGTGTGTAAAATCAGAATTCAGAATGCGCTCAAAGACTTTAACAGGAATGGAATATGAAGAAATGTTGGATACCTTTATTAACGTGGCGGTATTGCTCGTTGAAAAGATGATAAACGCTAGCATGAGCCTTTATAAGATTGTGTGCGCACAGGTATTCAGCAATACCATGCCGATTTAAAGCTGGGGCTCTATATGTACCGCCATAACCTTCCAAACATGTCTGCATAGGCTCATTGAAAGTTACCCAATACTTTACTCTGCTTGCAAAATTGTCGAACAATACCTTAGCATAATCTGTGTAGTAATCAACAATATGAGCATTACTCCATCCTCCTATATTCTGGAGTTTCTGAGGCAGGTCCCAATGATATATGGTGATCATAGGTGTAATACCGTACTTTATAAGTTCATCAATAAGATTGCTGTAATACTGTATACCCGCAGCGTTTATATTGTTCGTAAGTCCAGACGGCAAAATGCGTGGCCAAGAAATTGAAAATCTATATATATCAACTCCAAGTTCGCGCACCATTTCAGCATCCCTTTTGTAAAGGTGGTATGAGTCGGCAGCTACATCTCCATTCGATCCATCTTTTACAAAACTTTTATTAGTGTGTACCAGATGATCCCATATACTCTCTGATTTGCCTGAAAGAACTCCTTGGTGGTTAAAAACAACTCAAATCTGAATATTTCATTAATGCCTATATAGCAAAAAAGAAAACTATTAGTATACCGTCAACATTCCATGCACCCTCGATTTGGAAAGCTGCAGTAGACACCCCAAACAAGAACTCTTGTGGAAATGTGTAGTTGGATTTTAAACCTCCAGAGAAGTTTAAAATTTCAGCATTTCTGTAATACAAAAATTTGGCATTATAAACGATGCTTAAATTTACTGTACTACTCAATATATTACCTAATCAAAATGTGTCATATGTGGAAGTCTCTGGATCTGGCCACTTAACATTAAAAAACAATTATATTATGGAATTCGAAAATTGAACTCTTTGGGAACATGTAACTTTTTAATTTGCGAGACTGTCATTTGTTTTCAATGTCATCATTATCCTTTCGACAATTGTGTGTCGCTATCAAAATGAATTCAACTCGTGAACATTTTCGTTTAATGATTTTTTATGATTTTTGTTGTGGCTTAAGTCAACAAGAGAGTTGCCAGAGAACTCAATTGGCATTTGGTGATGAAGCTCCATGTCGCAGCTCTGTGCATTCGTAGTTTAGAGAATTAAGACGTGAACGTGATCATCTCCATGTATCGAGGTTCGTGAAGGTCGGCCGGAGACTGCGGTTCCAGACTCTAATATTGATACCGTACGACAACTTATTCAAACTGACAAAAAAATATTTGACAGCAAATTCGTGCTTTATTAGGCATTTGAATGAGCCAAGTGCAAAACATTTTAATGTGCATCTGAAGGTTTGGAAGCTTTGCACTCGATGGATAGCGCATGACTTAACGGAGGACGAGAAACGACTGCGTGTCTAGTGGTGGTCGGCAGAGTGGGTCTTTCCTTTTGAAGATTTGCCGACGAAAGTTAAGCTAAGTCGAAGGATTGGTAAAAAAATGGTTGCTTCGTTTTTCGCAAATCAGGACATAACACTACAGTATCGCTTGAAGATAAAAGGACAGTGACTGCAGATTGGTATGTCAACACTTGCTTGCTCAGGGTCTTGGAAAAAGTTCGCGAAAAGCGTCTTTAAAGCAGTGTCCTCCTTCACCACGATAACGTATCCTCATATTCCGCTAAGGTAACTTTGAAGGCTTCAAATGTGGAACTAATGACGCACCTGCACCCTTACGGACCACTCGCTGCTACTCGTACTTCTTTTGGTTCCAAAAATTAAAAACAAAACTTAGAGACACACTTTTAACGAGCCCTGAATCGGTGAATGGGTTCTATGAAGCTATTGAAGAGGTCCGTAAGGGTGACTGATCTAACTGCTTTATACAGTAGTTTCAGCTAATGCAAAAATGCATTAATTGCGAGGGAATATACTTTGAAAAACAATAAATGTATCGTAAGTCTTATTTATCAGTAGCCAGAAACTTACACTGTGCCCTAAGTACGAGTATATACATATTATTATAATTCCGTCTACCGCTAGGACAGGGAACACGGTGAAACTTAGGACCAGGGTTGCCAAAAGACGACTTGTTTTCTATAATGATCACATTAGCTTGAGTCTTAGTGTACAAAAAGTTTTAACGACAAGACTTAGCTTCTCTGGTACAAGTAGTTTAAGTCAAAGAGCAGAACAACATCGAAAGTGCTATTTGGGAGAGAACTATATTTTACATTATGTGGGTAATTTTGTGAACATTTGATTTGATATGTGGAAATTACCATCAAATACGACGTTTATCGTAATGTATATTTATTGTATCTTCCATCCGAAAGGGAGAATCAGAAGTAAACAGTTTTGCGCTGGCCTTAATCTTAACGGGGACATAGCTCCCTCTGACGACCGATAGACTATTATGCTATAGACAGGTTAATCAGTCCGAGGTTCAGTTTTCTTTACCTACTTATTACTTTCGATGATTATTCTGTTAAAATGTGTGTTTTATGTTGTTGCTTTCTTAAGAGTTAAACAATAGTCACATTAATTACTTTATTGTACCCTTAGATTACATATTAATAATCTAAGATTGTACCTATTACTTGCTTTGTTTTATAAATAAATAATGCACTTTATTGTTTATTACACTAATTACAAATATGTCATTATTTATTCTACAATTTAAAAACTTTAATTACAATCATATTAATACGGCAAAATTATAATAAAATTAATCCATTAATACTAAGTTTTTTTTAAAATATACTTCTTATGTATAATTATGTATGTAGGTATAAGAAAAGCGTTACCCATGATGGTACTAAATTATAATGATATGGGTATTATACACATTATGATAAAACAAATCAATCAATGAAAAAACTTTAAGTCGTTTTCTACCCATGTTGCTAAACACGTTTTCTTAATACATTTATTAGGCAATTCATTGAAGTAATGGTATTCGTGCACATTAAACAAAAACAAATTTTACTTAGTTTCCTTGTTGACTGATTAATCAGTCCGCATTATGTTTAAAAAGAAACGGACTGTTAAGACTAACTGCACTAAGAAGTTTATTATGAACAGCTTTGATATTGTTGAGGTATAATTTATTCTATCCTGTTTCGAATATTTCGGACTTACCAATTTTTTGAATGGGGAAAAGTTGGCAAGAAAGTTAGTAGACGTTAAACTTTTAATATAATATTCGAGGATTTCTTTTTACAAAGCTTTCTCTAAACACAAACTAAACCTATCTTATAGTATGGGTTCTCGAACACGAATAAAATACTATTTTTTTGCAAATATACATACATATTACACATAAAGCAACCAGATAATCTTGCATACACATACTGCACTGGTCGTTAATGGATTTAGCGACCCTGAAGTGCGAATGCTTAACCACTGCCCCACAAAGGTCGTCAAGTAGTACTAATATTATTATTAGTTTTAATGATAACTTTAATTATATCGAATACCATTATAATACCTACAATTTCTCAACCTGTAGAACATTAACTGGATTTTTATAACAAGTAATCCATTATCATCAATAAACATTAAACTAGGCCGTGCTTGTATCTAAAACGCTTTTGTGAGCTCTCTAATGTAGATTTCATCAATGAAACTGTCACTCGAGAATTGTATTTTTTTTCTAAATGAAAGAGATCTTAAATATTTATTTTTTTATATACCTGAAAATGTGTGTTATTTCTTCGTTAATGATCGGTTAAGTAATTAAAATGTGAATGTTACAAAGCAGCAGCCTCAACTTCGTATTTATCGTGTAAATAAGAATCTTGGAGATCTTTAAAGTATATAGAAACATTAGAGTTTATTACCATTGTTTAGTTATCAACGCCAAATGACCCCATAAAAGCTAACTACACAATTATGACAATGGTATCAGCCCTTTTTGTCTACTTCATGCTTCTTCTGTACTCCGGATGCGACAACCATAATAACGATAAGCGATCGGAATATTTCTTCTACAAATCTATTTATCTAATGAGTATACAATATAAATATATATTATTGTTTTATATTTTATATATATTAATATTTTAAATTATATAATCGACCTATATTTAGAAACTGCTAATAATTAAAGTATTGAATCCAAATACTCAAGAAATAAATAAGGTGCACAGTCTACAGACAAATATACTAAAAGAACAAGAACAATTTTAGTGGTTTCATATCGATAACATTTAACAAACCGTTAAATTTTATCGATAAACTTACAATGATAAAATATAGAACATTTCTACAAAGTCAATGCAATCACAAATTTTACTTTCCTCCAATTGAAAAATAATTATATCACATAGCTAGTCTTCATCATCTTTTTTAATTTCGTACATAATTCAAAATAATCTAGATAAAAAAAAAACGTTATAAAAACTATATAAAAGAAGTATATTGAGTTCTTGTTCAACATCACACCTTCTCGAATCGGAAAGCTTGGTTATTGAAGCGGTTTTGCCAGACACGTACCTCCGGTTCCATTCTCCAAGCGAGTTCGTTCGCTTTACATAGGAGACCGGACATCGATTATAATCCGGAGCCCGCTTCAATCCCAATCCCTCCTTCGCCAGCTGATCGGCGCTCTCATTTCCCTCCAGCCCTGCAAGTGCTTTTATGCAATACAAATTTACTATTTTGTTTTGGTGACAACAAGTTCTTAAGTTTTGCCTGGCCTCCACTGCTACGGGATGGAGACAACTGTGATTTGCGACCGTCAAGACAGCTGCGGTTGAGTCGCTGTAGATTGCAAATACGGTTGCTTTATGTTTGAGGATCACCCTCAACGCTTGGCATATAGCCAATAGTTCCGCCTGGTATACTGTACAATATAACGACAGACTGAGCTTGAGGGCTCGGGTTTCGGCCCCATCTTCCCAGAGCGATAGTGCAGCCTATTCAGCAGCCTGTTCTATCTAACTACGATCCGTGAAGATTTGTACGGTGCTTTCTTAAGTTTCCACTAGCTGCTCATCAGTCACCAGGTTTAGGAACTCCAATCAAATATGTTCCGCGGGATGAGGATTCTCTAATGCTGAAGACAGTCGTTCGATCTCCCTCCCCGTCAATCCCTGCAATAAACCCCCCTCCCGGCTCCGTAGAGCAAGGCTGTTTCGCGAACGCGAAGGTCAAGTGGGATGATCCCCGCCAGTACCAGTGCTGAGTGGAGAGAGACCGTACGATAGGCTTTGCAGACTTTCTTAGCAAAGCTACGCTGGACGACATTCAATTTCCTCTTGACTCCGAGTCTCTCAACCGCAGGTTCCCACGTGCCGGCCGCGTACAGAACCACAGATTCAACCGTCGCCGAGTAAATGATTTGATGAAGGCCCCAGCTCGCATTCGCTGCCCTGGTTAACTGTTTGTGTATTTTGGTGACTTTCTGACATACATTGAAACAAACCAGTTGAATGTTAACTTGCAGTCAATTGTGAGACCAAGAATTTTGATCTCGTTTGATTTGCCAATACCCACCCCACCCATGTTCAGACGTGGTGTGTCATACCGAAGTTTGCGCGTAATGACCATGGCATTCGTTTTATGTGTTGCGAATTAAAGTTTATTTTGTCACCCAACGCCCGAACATAGTCGAGTGTGGCATTGGCACATCTCTCGATCTCGGAGGCTGTAATCCCATTAAAGACGAGAGCAACATCGTCGGCGAAGGCCAGCATTAAGATTCCCTCTAGGCCTTTAAGTAAGGGATCCAAGAGCAAGTTCCAAAGTATTGGTCCACCAATAGAGCG